GCGAAAGACTAAATAACTGAGCGCCCCGATTCCGCCCACGATGATGAGGGTGTTGCTTTTCCAATTGGCAGGACGAGTCCACCAACCACCTATCAAAAGAGAAGAGGATGTCAACAAAATCACGTCATATTATGTATATGATTTTAGAAAATGACGGAAAGGGTACGGCAGGTTTTCGACGTACCAGCTGGACTCCAGACTTCTTTTGGGTAAGGATAATGGCCTCCTCCACCCTATTAAAAATGAAAAATAATTCTCTTTCAGTGATACGATGTTGAGTTGGAGGTTGAGGAATGGCCGCACCATGATTGGTTCAAATGTTATGGTCAGAAACAGAAATGGGTTGCGCCCCGCAGTGCGTTCACCTTCATCGCCGATTCAAACCACGCTTGGACCCAGTTGGCTCCATTATTGACTAAGCAAGAAAAACTTGCGTGGTTTAGCCGCATCCTTGTTCTCTTTTGCAATGGTAAGTACTAATCACTTTCTTTCATTGGCTAGTATTGTTTACACGACGTGATATGTCATTCTACTATAGCCTCCAAGAAAGCGTGTCCGCGAAGAATCTTCGAGTGAAACGTCCGAGTATGGCGATGATTCTACAACGGTAGAAGAGGACGGTCTCGACAGTGACGCGTTAGACGATGAAACGCCACCTCCAGCGTCCCAAACGGCCAAACGACGTAAGAGTAGTGGAAGCAAGGGCAAGCCCAAAGCTCGTGACATCAAGCCGAGCAAGGCGAAAAAGTCATCTCCTACGAAAACATCTAGTCCTAGTGCAAAAAAGTCGAGTGCCTCTTCTAGCAAGAAGAGGAAGCGTGAAGAGTCGGACGAGGGGGATGACGAAGACGAAGATGAGGACGTTGAGGTTGTTGGTAGGATTGTTCAGGCACCCACTACGGGTAGAGGTATGCTTAGTCTACTTGTATATGAAGCTATACTGAGTGTGAGTGGCGTGGCTAGTTCCTCCTGGACAGATATCACAGAACACGTTGGACTTTTTGGGAAGGCTCAAGGATAGTAAATGCAACGATAGGGAATGGTATGTTGCTACCAAAATCTATATTCCTCTCCTGACTCTCATCTTTAGGTTTAAGCTCCATGGTGTGTGGTGTTCGAAGTACAGAACGAAGGCTTTAACATGTTTCAGAACCGGTTTACAGACAAGCAGAGAAAGTGAGGGGTTCAGATGACCATGACTGAATTTCTCAACCACTTTTTGCAGGAATGGACGGATTTTGTTGAAGAATTTACGACTGTACTGAACGAAGTGGATGATGAAATCCCTCATCTTCCTCCTAAAGATGTCATACACAGGATATACCGAGATGTAAGTGCTTTTCCTTTGAATAATTCATCCAACTTACAGGTCGAAAGATTCGTTTCAGCAACGACAAGACTCCATACAAAGTACATCATTCAATCCAATCCAACCTGATTCTTACTATTGTTTCTAGAGTAACTTTTCTGCTTCTTTTTCGAGGAGCGGTAGAAAGGGGATATTTGCACACTGTATGTGACCCACTTCTCAATTCGATAACGCTAACAATGCCTAGATCATGTGTGAGTGTGGAAGAGGGCTCTTTTATTAGTAACTAAGATTATATAGATCAAGTATGTCACCCGTTCATCAATACCTCTCGCCTAGCTGACATATCCATAGTAAGCCCTGGAGATAGCTTTATCGCAGCCGGTGCATGGTGTCCTGGGAAGAACGAATTGGAGCAAATAAGGTAGGGCTTGAACGCTGAATAATATTGCAAATGCTTACCTCGGACAGGTCACATATACAACGAAATTCATCCCAGTTAAGGGGCATCATCTCCGAGCCGGCCTTTGAATCGCTATTTGGTCCGGCTAAAAAAGCCAAAGATAAGAGACAAAACATCTTTGGACGCGACGACGAATTAAAAGTGGCCCCAAAAGGGATACCCAAGGATCACCCGTAAGTTGTCCTGTTACTCTCAATACCACAAGCGACTGACTTGAAGACCACACAGGGATATCGACCTGCTGAAATGCCGAACGTTCGCTGTTGTTCATCGGTGCGTTTACTTTTCCTCGAGCGCGCTCAACTTGTCCTCTGCCTATACAATTATGTTAAAACCTCTACTGACCTCCTTTGTATAGTATGACAGATGAGCAAGTGCTTGACCCTGAATTCAAACAAATCTTAGGTGCCATCGCACAAGTAGCAAAGCCATTCGTTCGACGGTACGTAAAATCTATTGCGCTCAGTCTCTTTCGGCAACCTTCAGTCTTTCTCTACCAAGTGATCCTTATTGATCGATCACTTTAGCTTGAATCACATGATGACGGTCAATAACTTTGACGAAGATGAGGATGCCGAGTCTTAATCTCCAGCCTCTCGCAATGCTCAGATCATATTGAACTCAGTACTCCCGGGTGGCGTTCCTCCAACCCGTTTTGGCTTTTTCGAAGTCCGAATCTAACTTAGTTTGTGGGGTCGCGGCCACAACCTCGACTGCTAGGTTAATCCAATTTTTGTACATTATCAGAAATATTGTAGGAATTTATGGAAATGGTTCGGAGATATTGAGGACAGGTTGATTATGTCGGGACGTTTTTGCGGTGTGCATGCCTCGTGCTCACCGCAAAACTTGATTTCGCTCCACGACCGCTGACGTTGCTCAGCAGACACAAAAGATCTTATCAGTCCCTTCAATTCCTCTTCTAAAAAGATCTCTCTAAAAAGTCCAGATGTCTAGGCCCGATAGAGGCCCCCGGCCGGCCAATCCACCCAAGTAAGAAATCTTGATCCCTTACGCCCCTCGTCCCAGTTGTTTGTTTGGCGACTACTCTCCTAGAATTTAGCCTCTTTGCTCACACCTGTCTCTATTGTCTCCTTCGCGTCTATCCTTGCTTTCTGAACGGTCACCCGGGACTATTCACGGTTTATCCGCTCCTTATCTGCAAAAATGGAACACCTATTGGCCAATCCCAGATATATGAACGACTTTAGGTTCGTATGGCCATCATTTTCCCCCTATTCCAACCGCCTGGAAACCTCGTGCTAACTCGTTCCCCTTGTCCATCTTCGGATTGTGGCTACGATTACCCTTATACTCTACCTCGCTCAACCCCTCATTTGTCGTCAATATGGATCGAATTATCGGTAGTAAAGCATTGGCTGCTGAAGTCCGGATCCTCCTCCAAGAAGTGGGCAAGTTGCGCGATGAGAAACGCGCATTGCAATACGAAGTCTCGGAGCTGCTTGCAGCAAAGGTCAATCCTCCGAAATTCCATTTGATGATTCATTTCTGACCTCGATTTAGGCTCGATATGGAGGAGATGGGGAATATCATCCCGAGTGGTAAGACCTCTTTATTCTCGAATATTTACCGATTTATTGACGGGGCGCAATCCTAAATGCAGGAGACCACAACAAGTATGTATTCCAATTTTGAACTGAAAGTTTGTTGAGATACCCTCCTAACGTAGCATGAGCCCCCTCCGATGGCAATTCCAGCTCCTGAACCCGAGCCGCCCAGCGATGCGCTAGTACTTCATCAAGAGGCCAAATCTGGATGGCATAAGGTTTCCAAAAAGCCGGAACGTAAACCCAGAGAACCTCGTAAAAAGGCACCCGCACCGGAACCGATGCCAGCACCTCCCGTCCAAATGCCCCCTCAACCAAATCTCCCAAGCTGGGCTTCATGGAAACGTGAGTAGCTCTGAAGCTAGCTAGTCTTATACTAATC